GATCTCCGAAAACATTCAAACTCTTAAACGTTTTACTATCTAAGAGCATAGAATGTTTCCATGTTTACCTGCCGCGGATATCAACAGATTTCACTTTCCTCCGCCCGGCTCTGCATCTTCGGCGCGTAGGTTGTAGTCGTGAAATTTCATTCTGACTCAGAGCACGCCAGGGCTGAGAGTCAAGACGAACTTTCGGCATCGATTCCAAGATCGAATGCAGAGTGAATTTCCAATACGTCGTCTCCATATGAAAGGGAAGACAGAATATATATCGTTGACTAATATAGCTATGAAGTAGAAATTTTAAAAACAGTAAAAACGAATTAGATTAACGGAGCTACGAGAAACGTGTGCAGCCTGTAAGGCGCTCTTAATTAATATCTATGCTTGGTGTCTCGGTACATATCTTTTTAATCAGCGAACCAGTTGATTATAAATTTATTGACGCGATAAGGATGTTTGGTTTGCCTTTTTTTCCTCTCGTCCTCCTGCCGAATTTAGTTCGTGAAAGTTTGTAGTAACAAAACAAAACTGAATTATCTTTCAACAGCTTTTAAAGGTATTCGATGTGGAAAGAAGCGTAAATATCTCGTAGGATAACATGTCTTTAGTGTTTTTTTTTCCTTCGAGTTGCATACCGAATAGTCCTTTTGGAAGAATGTAATAAGTCTTATTTATCACTGTTATTAACCCCTAACAAGAAACCTGGAAATGCTAAATTCTTTATACTTTACTTTGGATCAGATGATAATAGCACGCAGCGCAACACCGCAAAACTATGTAGCTTTTATCGACGGTTTTCCTTGGTCAAGAGCTGTGAATTTTGAAACTAATTTGCCTTCATTGTAGAAAAAGAAAGAAAAGGAAAAAAGCTTCAAGTATGAAAACTTGCACTTTGTACTGCAAAAATCGCCCGTTTAAGCCGTTAGATTTGAAAAAAAAAAGATCAATGTGGTCGTTCTAAAACAATGAAAGCATTGTTTACTAGCGTGGCTCTTACCAAAGATGCACTAGCCTTGATACTATCACGCTTAGTCTCGTAACCTAAAGAAAAGAGAAGACAATCTTCTGTTTGGGAAAATACCACCTAGGAATTAAAAAACGCTTAGCTTAAGTGGTTGCATTAAAAAATGATATTTGAAGGTTAATGTTCTAAGTTAGTCTTGGAGCGAGAACACTGGCGGCGCGCTCGGCTTTCAACAAAGGGTTAAAACTATCTAGTTTTACTAGTAACGTAGAAAAAAAAAAAAGAAGAAATAAATGGATTTTTCCAAAAAACCTCTAAGGAATTAGAATAACGCTAAGTTAAATTCCTGGACTAAAAAAAAATAAGTGATGTTTGAGGGTTGTCGTTCTACTTTAGTCTTTCAGTAAAAACACTGGAGGCGCGCTCAGCTTTTAACAAAGAGGTGATAGTTTTAAACTACTCTGCCATCCTTTTTGTCGACAATAGAACATCGTGTAATTAAAGTTGCTATTGTTGCCGTATGATCATTTTAATCGGCTATGTTCGAATTTACCTCTTGAATTTCGCTTTTGTAGTGGTAGCGAGTTTGAATTTCCCTCGTGAGTTAATAACTTATCGTTTGGCGCTAAACCTATTGTTTCAAGATACGCGTATTACCTAACACGCATATTTTTGTAAAAGGATAAATAGATACGTGCCTCGCTTCAAAAAGTCAGAAGAGAAGGCAACCAAAATTGTAACTAGTTTTAATTAGTGATTCTCTTGTAACCTTCGCAATTCCTGTGGTTAGCTGTATCTGTAAAATATTGTAACGTATCTACTTTCTTTCCTTAGGTAGGTAGGTAGCTAGGTAGGTAGATACGTAGGTAGGTAGGTAGGTAGGTAGGTATACTTTAAAATATGAAAGAAACAGGCTAGCCCCAAGAAAAATCAGCTGGTTTACATAGAGGGCGTGTTTGTACATACATGAAAAAAAAAGCAACTAATAATACAAGATTAATAATGTCGTTGGTCTATAATCTTATGAGTTCAACTATTATGAGCAAAGGTCTAATCTAAGTTGGAAAAGCCATATCTATACTCTAAAACTAACTAAAACTGTCGGTCTAATTGCGAAGCTAAGACATTTCGTTCCTAATCGAACTCTTCTTGATATTTATAAATCCCTCATTGCACCTTTTATAACGTATGGATTAACTTCTTGGGGAACTGCATCTAAGACCTTGTTAAATGGTCTTCTGGTCTTACAAAAACGCTTACTCCGTCTTATTTACTTTGCCCCAGTAAGGGAGCATGCAATACCCTTTCAGTTCTTTTGAATGGAAACTTCTTCCACTAGAATTACAGTATTATGAAAAAATTGCTAATTTAATGTACGACATCAATGAATGCTACCTCTGCACCAAGTAATATTTCGAATTTGTTTTCGAGAATTTCCAGCGTTCACTCTTACGGCACACGTTCATCAATGTGTGAGCACTTTTATACTAAAAAAAAATCTGCGCTTAATGTTAGAAATAAGGCTTTTTCACCTGTTGGCGTTAAAACCTGAAATGGGATACCAACTAGCCTCAAAAAGTCATCCAAGAACTCTCTTAAAAATTCCATAAGAATAAAATTAATGGAAATTCTACCAACTGAAAACTCCCATGTTGAAATGCATATCATAACTTCAATACTCGCAATGGCCTTCAAACAAATCATATCAATGTGACCATCCCAGCTCAGTTTTTCATCTATCTGAACTCCCACGCATTTATGTTTAAGTTCGTGAAACGGGTATGTTGTTTACCACAACAGATTGTTCGGTATTCTTATTGTTCAAACTATACGACGAGCCAATAAACATCAATTTAGATTTACAGGGGTGCATTTGAAGTTTGTTTCCTATGCCTTTTGTACACATGATCTTCGATATGGTCAGTAATTTGATCGATACTTTACCGACACTTAAAAGAAACTTGACTGATACTTGACCGATACTTGGCCGATACTTGACCGATACTTGACCGATACTTGACCGATACTTGACCGATACTTGGCCAATACTTGGCCGATACATGACCGATACTTGACCGATACTTGGCCGATACTTGGCCGATACATGACCGATAGTTGATCGCTACACATCAGTCGATATATCGGCCGATAAATGACCGATATATCGGTCGACTATCGGTCAACTATCGGTCGATATGTCGAGCGATAGGCGGCCGATAGTCGGTCGACAGTCGACAGATAGTCGGCCGATATGTCGACCGGGACGGCCGTTAGTAGACATGATCCGACTAGATTAAAAATAGGTCAAAATTAACACGTCATTTAACTGTGAACTAAACAGAATAATTGACCGGAAATCTGGCTTTTGGAAGGCAAATTCTAGTTCTTTTGATCTTCGAAGGACTTTTCGGAGAAATTAGTCAGTGCGATTTAATTAAGTTTTAAACTAAGGTAAAATGCACAGATTTGACGGAGCCGTCAGTTGGTCGAAAGTATACACATGCACGCGCAAACTCGACTGTCTCGCATTTTAAATCCAACCTACAGCTTTTTGAACAAAATATCCACTTACCCTCCACGTTGCTGTAAACAATCATTATCAGGAAGTGTTGACTATCCTTCCAAGTTATATTGCTATTGTGAGAGCGATGCAATAATATCCGGACTGCAATCCTCTATATTGATATAGTTATAGCAGATCTACGGAACTGATGATAAGTGATTGAAGGTTAAGGTGCCTACGGGAACCCTTTTTGATGGAGGAGACTCATCGTTGGTGTACATTGATACAAGAGTAAAATATATACAGTAATTGGTTCGATTTCAGTGAGCACATTATCTAACTTTTCATAATGTTAAGATACATTCAATTGAAAGTTATTAAAAAAAAAGTCTGACTGAAAGTTAGCCTCAGCTTGGTGTCAGTCATTTTGGATATATGCGTCGATACAGCAACTGTGGCCGGTTTCCTTGAGCCAATCACCTTACTTTAATAATGTAAAGATGCTCTCAATTCGATTCTTTTGCAAAACAAACAGCTGACCGAAAGCGAACAGCAGCTTCACCTCTGCGTTGATAGAGTCGGAGGTTGCGGGCTCATACGTGTAGGTCTTATTTAGGCACTCATTGCGTACCTAAGGTAACAGGGATAATAGTTCTATGGTTAATTGGTAGCCCTTCAACAAAAGCTGTACCAAGTTGAAAAATGTTACCTCTGACTGTCTCAACACTCTCTCTCACTTTTATCTCCCTGGTGATCTCCCAGAATGAAACAAACAAACAAACAGAATGACATCATTCAATAAGTACCTTCTGTTTATAATGTATTTCGTAGGTCGAGAAGAAGAAAAAAAAGCTAAGACTTAAGAGACAAGTGAGCAAGATAAAAACAATGAAACTGCTAGTTAACTGGGCCAATTACCTGGCCTACCTGCGGGCCGGGTTTACAGTGAAAACCACTTTATCTATTTGACGGCAATAGTGTTAGCCTGCACAATGACTATGAAGGTTACATTATTGCATTCTATACGTCACTTTCAGAGTGCTCATACTTCATTTAAACCAATAACTTTGTTATCACACAGCAGGAAAATCTGAGGAGCAACTGGAGAGTCAAGAATTTCTAGGGCAAAGCTGCAAAGGTAAGGAAGAAAATCGTTTTTACTTGGTCAATCAAGATATCAAGGCTCGATATGAGTTACTATAGCATATTTCAAATTTGGTATAAACTGAAAAAAAAGGTCTTAAAATTCTTAGATAAAAGCAGGACTTAGTGACTGAACACTCATGTATCTTTTATCAAGAGAATCTACGGGTAGGCCTTGCATATGCACTTACTCATACCTTGACGCAACAGAGATAGTGGTGACCGGGTAAACTGGTGGCCCCATAGCAAATGCTTTAAGAGGTCCTACAGTTTAACAGTGACCGTTTCAACGCTCTCGAATAATCAGCTATGTTTTCAAAATTTCGATCACGTGGTCGAATAAACATCAATGGGTTAGTATAATTTGCTCAATGAGGTCAAGAAGGAGGAAAAAGTCCTGACACTGAAGAGCTAACTGAGGAAGGTAAATGTGAAGTTTTTTCAAGGAACTGTACATTGCTTCGAATAACTTTAGTTTACTTACGCATGCAATTCAAGCTTATTATTATCATTATAATTATAATTATTACTATTAGCTTTATTATTATTATTACTATTATTAATATTATTGATATAATTTGTCACTCAAGAGTTTAAGGCACTCATTCAGTACACGAGAAACAGAGACAATGATGATTGGGTAAATTAGTGACCCTCCAGCAAAGGCTTTAAAAGATGGTCAAAGTTTATCTCTGACTGTTTCTACGTTCTCGAATAAGCATTAATCTTCCTAAAATCTCGATCACTTCGTAAATTGTAAGTATTAAACTAAACATCAATCGTTGAGTTCAATTTGTTTAACATGTATTTCTTCAGGTCAAGGAGAAAAAAAGCCTGACACTGAAGAGCTAAGTGAGGAAGGTAAATATGACGTTTTTTTAGGAACTGTACCCTGCTTAACATTAATATATTTCTGCATACAATTCAAGCTTGTTATATTTATAGTTATGATTATGATCATTCATTTCTATTATTGCAATTATTGTTTCTCTTATTGATATGAATATATTATTATTATTATTATTATTATTATTATTATCATTAATATTTCAGCCAGGGAATCTGAAGAGAAAGTGGAAAGTGAAGACACTCCTGACACTGAAGAGCTAACTGAGGAAGGTAAAAACTTTTATTTCTTAGGAACTGTACATTGNNNTAAACTATCTCTTTTTGTAACAAGGTGAAGAAAAAGTGTTTGATACCAGGCTTTAGCTCTCTGTAAACGAGCCAAGGTAAATGTTTATTATGCTTGTTTTAATATTGAAACCACCGCCTGACGGGGTGCGGAAACAAAGCTCATGAAAATGTTGTGTTTTGATTCATATCATGAGATTGTTAAAAGTTTGGAAAGACTGGAAAGCCGTAAGACTACATCAACTTATTGGGCTAATGTCTGTGAGGCTGACCGAGCTGTCTATCTAACTGCTGTTGTGACTATCAGGTTTAGTTTTTGCCTGAACTTTTGCCGGATTGTCTGCCTGACTGTACGCTAAACCAGTTGGCAGGGTAATCGCCTGACCCATTTTTTTGCTGCCTGCCTGGAACAGACAGTCCAAACGGATTGCCGACCTTCTGATTGTCTGATCGGTAGATCAGGTAACCAACTAATTAGATACGTTTTGCTATCGTTTATCAATGTGTTTTTCTTCTTTTTATCAGTAAAGAGACCGTCAGGGCTGGAGAAAGGTGTAAAAGAATTCACATGGGAGGAAAAAGTATTTCTAGTAATCATCACGTACAGTGTCTGTGGAAGTATCTTGGTCAACACAATCTGACAAGTTTTCTTTTCCCCTGATTTAGTCATAACGTAAGCTCGTTCACTAAACTTTAGATTCAATAGCAGGGCATAGTTAATATAAATATTGGGCGCCATCTCTGAATAGGTGGCAATTCTGTCTTTATTTCCGAATTCAATTGTTCTGTTTCTTTTCTTTCTTTCTTTATTTTTTTGCTCAGTTGCGATATGTCTAACTAAGTGATAATGTAAGTCTATTGCTTTTAGCATATACTAACATAGCCTGATTTGTAGAAAACAGATCAGAAAACGTAATTTGATGAAATGAAATACATCATAATGGCAAACGCAAATGTTTAACTCTTAGATTGTGTATCGACAGCTAAGTGTTATAAGTATCTCTAGTTTAGGAAACAGACAAGCACTATTTGAGAAGAAAATCAATGTAATCTTGAGAAAAATATGTCGATCACAGCAGATTTAGAAGCATAACAAAGCTCTGTGGCTCATTCTTAACTCAAAACAAATATGGGAGTATTTCGTACTTAAAGTGCATTATAAATCTATAAAAAAAAAACAGTATTTAGAATGTCTATAAAACAACTTGTTCGGTTCATATGGCAGATGATTAGTAGTATCCTAGTGATCTAAATAGTTAATTTCTTAGAACTTTTTGACTCGTTTACAAGCCTTTTCAGTTAATTAAAGT